TCTTATAGCCTTGCTTCAGCCTGTTAAGAGTCTGTTTTGAGACTGTGCTGCTGTGCTTACATGCAAGTACAGCTGGAGCATTAACAAGTGTTGTTTAGCAAGTGCAGTGACTTTTTAGAACATCTGCCAACCTGTCCAACAGTGGATTTAAAAAAAATAAAACATCATCTTTGTTAAAGGTAAGAATCAATACCTTCTTCAGGCAGTCCAGCAGTGGACCCCTCCTCTGGCTAGTTTAACAAAACTGGGCTATAAATTGAACTGAATCTCTGGTATATTTATGGAATCTTCTATATGTAAAGTTTTACTCTGAAGAAATACTATTACATAACCTTGTGCTGCTATTTAAAAGGAAAAAAAAAAAGGCAAAAAAAGCCTCCTTCCAATGCACACTCAGCTCTTAAGAAAAACATACGTTCATGACTGTCCTCCTTTCAGGTCAGCTGCCACGTGTAAGTGTTATTACAGGTCAGTCACAACTGTACTAAAGCAGATTGTACAAGTATGACTGGCTTCAACTGGGCCTTAATTCTTCAGAAGGAAGGTATTAAACTTGTTTTTTGCCTCCTGAGTTGAGTTTTAAGAGCTGGCATTTGTTGTTCAAAAAACCCTAAACAATTATCTTGATCTGCAGACAGTGAAGAAAGATCATATTGGTGCTGCATGATTCTAGTGCTGCTTTTTCAACAGAAATTCATGTTTAAACAATGGCCAGGATTCCTACTGATGTAGGAAAACTTAGAACGGTAGAGCTTCTGTCAAGGAGCACTGGAAACCCTTGTGGTACAGGTAGAAGAATTATTGGGGGTGGGGTGAAATCCCAGCTTCTTCAAAAGATTCTCTATTCTCTAATGAAGCTTAAAACTGAACAAATGAACTATTTTGAATTTGAACTTTATGGAATTGGACTACTTGTGGCAAACTAAAAATGTATCACTCCAGTCTTCCTAAGTTCCTTACATCTCTGTATATGTTATTTTTTATCAATGCATAGGTTTATGGAGATTCCTGGATAGGCTGGACTTCCCACCCATTGATTCCTTCCTGGCCTTGGGAACAAGTTCAAAACTGTGCATATGAACATAACTTATTTAAAGCTGAACATAGGCTTGCCTGTGATGTTTGGGGTTTGGAAGAAAAGTCACAGGTTTGGTTTATAAAATTTTCCAAAGACAAAGAGGATTCTGGGGAATTCAAGAGGAGATGTCATATTGACATGTCCAGGAAAAAATGAAATGGGCAGCAGATGCTGTCTACACACTCAGTAACAAGAAAGATGATGAAAACAAATTGCTGCAAATCGACCCAAATATTATTTTTGTATACATAATAACAAACATCTTACTAAATCTTTTACCTTCTTTCTTGTTTAAAAGGCTCCTGCAAGTGTCTGCATTTCACTGTTCTCATTTTCATTAAGGTTGGATTCTGGGTCTCAGGGATAATTTTACTGGTGCAAATTCAAATGCAAAAACTGGGATGGCTGGTAAAGTCCTGTGAGGTGGTGAAGAAAAGATAGCACGTTTCTGAAAGATATGACTGGTGATGATTGTGTTAACATATTCTGAACTTGGTAAATTCCTGAAGGAAACACAGTAACAGTGGGAAAAGTGCTGACATGGACTTTTGCCCACACTGCAGATCTGTGCCAAGGCTTGGGTTCTCTTCTCATCTTTCTTTGAAACTTGCTGGTTTTCTACTAGTGTGTCCAGATCAGCACAGTCATGTTGGGGGATACTTGAGCCAATACAAACACTACTTAACTGGCAAGGATCAGAAGCAAACAGAGAACTCTGTTCAACCAAATAAAATATGTTTAAGCAAATAGTGATTTCTGGAAAACATTGTTTCTTTTAAATAACGAGTGTGTAAACTCATACTCAATTTGTGGGTTTTGTCAAGGCTACAGTGCAAGCACCCAAGGAGTCTTGAACAAGAGTCTTAAACAGTTAGTTCAAATCCAGAAACTATCAAACTACTGATATTTTCAGGTGTTTAGAAATAGTTTATTTCTGGTGCACTTTTTTTAAAGAATAATATTATTTTAAAAGACTCTTCATGCATATTAAAGTACACTCCACAGTGGTAACAAACTGGCCTCTGGAGTACAGATAATGATTTTTTTTCATTTCATATGTAAGTGAAAAAGGAGTAGTACTGCTTTCATCGGCAGTTTCAACTTTTGTAACTTCCTTTTTAATTTCTAGCTAGCTTTGGATACAAAACATGTGGAGGAAGCAGTACATAGCATGTACTTTGGTTAATAATAAGCTTGCTGGCATTCTACTGGTAGTTCAGACCTGTAGTTGTTTCTGTTATTTCCTGAATTTGTGTTGGAAGATGACTAGTAGAAAGAACTGTCCATGTGGCTACACATGGTCATGTTCCTGAATTGCTGCCCTGCTGTCAAGTCATTCTTTGTGGAGAAAGAGCTGGATTGCCTTTCTGACAAAACAGCACTTAGAAGTTACACTGACAGTATTAACAGCAGGATATCTACTGTAAAGCAATGCTAAGGAACTCTTCAGTGTGTCAAGGCTCCTGGTGTTTGTTGGTCTAAATGGTAACAGGCACTCAGCGTGAAAACAGACATTTGCTGTGCATATTTAAACAACCTTATGAAAGAAAAGAGCTCAATTTACTTTAGTTTTGAATGTGAGTCTTGATCTCAAAAGAAGACAACAAAAGAAATAACTTATACTACTTGATTTATCACCTGAATGACAGTTACCTAAATTGCCTGGACTTGCAGAGCAGAAGGAATAGCAATTATCCGCTTAGCAGGCTTTTCCTGGAGAAGCATAAGATGGAAAAGCTTCTCTTGAAGTGTGAAGATATTTCCAGATGCCAGAACAGCAGAGAGACTTGTAAAAGAAATATTAAGATTAGTTTGAATTGAGCATGGAAATGTCTCTGCGTTGTACCTTGAGTAGGACCAATAAGGCAATGCTTACAAAAAAGATGTGATAATCAAGGATACAAATAAGATCAATCAAACTGGTAAACACTGAAAAATGCAGGGCTTACATCAAGACAAAGAGGCCTGTGCTCCAAGAGCCCTACAGCAGAAATACCTATAAGCAGAAGACCTGCCTTCTGGTACAGGAAGATGAAAGTTACAGAGGCCATTCCTCTTTCTGTTAGCTAAGTTGGAAGAAAGACAGATTACTTTGAAAGGAGGAACAAAGACAACAGGCAGTGAACCTGCCCAAGATTTACAGAAGGTGAAATAAAGGACTGCGGCAAAAAAAAAAAAAAAAGTTGTATTATAATAACTTATTCCTAAAAGGCACAGAAAATCTATCCAAAACCTGTTTTGACATTATGCAGTGGAACCCATGAGATGTAGTTAGGACTTGACAGTTGTCATTCCTTGACTCTTGTGTCACAGCACAAGTGATCCTGGCCTTTGGACACATGGATTTTGAGGATTTTGAGTCCAGGGGTATAAGAGAATGACTGTGACTGAAATTAGTTTTCTTTAAATATAGTTCTACCCTTCCGTAAGGTCTTTTGCTGCATTTTGTAATACTTAATTACTATACCAGGGTCAATGCTGCAATCACTTTTATTCAGTCATACTTGCACAGCCTGTAGTTTGTTTCAGTAGGAAGTCATTTCAAGTCAACACTTGTGTGGTGACTAAGCACCTGTCTTTGGGGCAAGCCTTTGGGTCTAGTGGATGTCAACACCTTTCCACTAATTGTAAGTATACAAGGTGTGGCAGCTGCCTTGAAAAAGGCAAGTCTAGGTGTAGCCTTAGCTGCCTGGTGTAATTTGTTGCATCTTCTTCCTATCTAGTATTTCAGGAGGAAGATGTGTCCTCCTTCTCCTTCCATATCAATGCCAAACCACTCCCATCATGTTTCTGAACTCCTGTCAATAGGTTGTGTATCTGCTCCACCAGATTCTGCCCTCATGCACAGATCTTTTTGACATGTCCTTCTCTAGGAATTACAAATGTTGAATATTCAGTGAGGCAAGAACAGCTTCCACGTTATACCTTACACTGTGTGTAGCTGGTAGGAGTTCCTAAGTCAATGAGTAGTCTTCTACTTGTCTCCCATGCCTTCATTTGTGATCATGCTCATTCTAGTGTATTAACCATTCAAGGTAGGAATATTTCTGAAAATTAGTAGATAGGAGATGCCAGAAGCTGTGCCCTTGTTGCAGAGTAGCCCTATCAGAAATAGCAGGGACTGGTAACATCCAGCGCAGTCTGTGTCCACTGCAAGAGTGAACCAAGGAAACCTTGTCTTTGCCCATCAGCACAATCATGACTGATCATAGGACGTGATGACACTTGTTCCAAGTACCATTTTCTTCTCTGTTTAGAGTCTGATTCTTCCTCCCTTTCAGAACCAGGCACACCTCAAACAACATGTATTTCAACTGAGCACGTAACTCCTAGTAGCCAATATGAAGGCTTATATCCCTTCTGGTTTTAAATTACTGTAATTACAAGTCTACCTGTTCCTGTAACATGTATGAAGGCCTAATGACTTTTTCTTGGTATTGACAAATTCCTGACCTCAATGATACTCTGTACCAATTAGCTGTCACATTAGTCAGATATTGCTGAAGTACAGCTATGCCCATAAGCTTTTATATCAGATGCCCTTGCCTATGTACCCTATTTCCCAGCTCTCCTAAGTATCACTGCTGTTCCTTAAGCCATTCTGACCACGGCCCTTATGTGCTACAGATTTTGATGCATGAGTTTTGCAGCAAACGCTCCTTACTTCATTTTGATAAGTCATCACGGCCCCACAGTTGTAGGGGCAGCGATGCGGGGTGAACGCACTACCCCCCGTAGCACGCTGCCTCCCTCCCTGAACGCCAGCGGGGACCAGAGGCCCCGGGCCGCCCTGTGGGGTGCCGTACCTGTCCGCTCTACCTCACGGCCTGCGTCGAGGCCGCGACAGCCGGGAGATTCCAGAAGCTGGGAGAAGTTGGGGTCCAGCTCCTTTATAGAGGTTTCCGCGGGGCTGCTGAGGGAAGCAGGCACTCCCACGCCATACCCCGCCCGACCTCAGCTGCTCGGATTCTCCGCAATCGGCTGGCGACGCCTGCGGGGCGGGGCCGGCTGCCGGCGGGGCGGACCGGACCGGGCCGTTTTCTGTCCGGGCCGGGCGGTGGGGCCGTACTCCGGCATCTCCGACGGGGTGCGGTGTGCGGCTGCTGGCCCCGGGGTTATGTGCTAGGGTGATGGTCCTGCCGGCTGGCGCCAGGCTTCTCCCGCGCTCGGGAGGGAACCCGTTCCTCAGCCTCCTCCTCTTGCTGCTGCTGCTGCTCTGCCCCGGCGGTGGGTGCCTGCCTCGCCGCCGGCCCGCGGGGCCGCCCGTGGTGCTGGGTAAGAGCCGGGGGGCGGCGGTGCAACTGGCGCCGCGGAACCGGGTCGGACCCGCCGTGCCCGCTGTCGCGCCGTGGGTGGGGAGGCAGCAGGAGGCCCGGGCGCCTGCAGAGCGTGGCGGGCACTGCCGTGGCGTGCGCTGCCCGTCCGGCTGTAGCCGCAGCTGCCCGGAGTGCTTCGCTGAGCGAGCCCGCGTAGGGCGCACTAGCGCCGCTGCGCGTACCGCGGGGCGCCTCCAGTGGGCGCGGAGCGTCTTCTCCGTGACTGTCCTGGTCCTGCCGCAACGGCGAGAAACGCGGGCCCGGGCCGGGGGCAAATGCACTTCAAATGTTGGGTTTTCTTACATTGTCAGCGAGTACGGGGAGATTAAGGCTCGCGTAAACACTTGTTTAGCTCATTAAGTACAAGCAGACCCTCGACTCTCAAGTTTTTACTGTATACGACCCTGCCGTCAAGGGGGTTGGAACGAGATGTGGGAAGAGCAGCAAGTGCGTGTTCTAGCAGCGAAGCCACAAGCGTTTATAAACATCACAGGCCTATTTCATTGCGCAGCATGCAAAATGGATATGTATTACTAGCCTGTGGTTTCACCTGTTAAGACGAAGTAACTTGTCATGAATATGTAGGCATATATTTCTGTAGTGGTTACTGTGTACTGTTCATTACATGCTGTTTGTATTAATTGATAAGAAAAATTGTAAATAAATTTGAAATATTTTAGTAACATCTTCCTAAATTGTGAATCTTAAGGGTTCCAATAATATTAAGTGTATTTGGTGACATTAATGTCAGCAGTCAGTCCTGTGGGCATATTCCCTATGTTTTTATGCAGTTAACTTTGTTGATAAAGGGGGAAGAAAAGTAGGAACATGGGGAAAACAGTGGGAAAAGGTTAATCAGTGGCATGTTCTTCAGTTTATATGTAATAATTTGGGCTCTGTTATTGGCTTTTACTGTTACAAACTTGTGACCTGAAAGTGTAAATGCTAAATGGGAACTTCTGTAAGATGCTGTACCTTGGGACCACCATGAGCAAACTCACTATCCTCAGCAGACAGCTGAACTGGGAGGATGTAGAGGTGGAGATAGAACTGCAGAAGGCTGTTCTGACAGGCTGGAGTTGAAGTGCGCACAGAAGTTCTGTGCGTTCTGCCTGTGGTGGTTAGAAGCGATCTTTCATCCCATCTTCCCACTCTAGTGCTGGGGCTTAGCAGTAAGCTTTGGTGCTTATTCCAGTGCAAGCTACTTGATGACAAGGTGATAGCGTTTTATAGCTGCTGAGCTGCAGTTGAACTCTAGTGATGAAGGATTCAAAGAAGATTTAAAAGCAATAGGGATGAAGGGATACTGATTATAGAAGTGTAGAGTTACTACTCCTGGATTTACTGCAAGTATGTATGATCTCTGAAGATGCTTTTAGAAACCAAGGCTGACCTACATTTAGGTTTCCTAAGAGATTTCTCGTAAACACGGCCTGCCTGAGCACATGCTCATCAGCGAGAGCTTTAAAACACAGACTTCCCTGCCATTACAATGAATCTTCTTTGAATGCTACAGAACTTGCATCTCTTCCCATTCTAGTCAGTGTCTGTGTTTTAAAACTTGAAGTTTCCTGCTGCCCCACCATGAGCTTGCCAGAAAATGAGTATTGAATGCGTCTGAACATATACAGACTACCCCCCAAAAATAGCTGTTTGAAAAAGTAGGTGCCCTTAGGGAGTGATTTGCTGTAACTTCCCATTGTAAAATACCATTGTTTTTTGATGTATAGAAACGTCTGTTGTCTTAAAATCACCTGCACTAAGAGCTTAGCTTTAGTTAGACATGACATGGGCAGTGAAGGTTGAGCAAATAAAGGAGAGGAAGCAGTGACTGTTGGCCACTTGCTGGTTCTGTATGAAAAGTTCTCATCTTGATTCTAGTTAACTTTTCGTGACCTTTTCTTCACCCTTCTTGTGTATGTGACACATTAAGATAAGCTTTTTAGGAATGAGTGTGATGAGGATGGTAGAAGGGTTTAGGAGACTCATTTAGGGAGGCATTGTAAGTGCTGGTTTAACACACGTGTTCGGGAGAGAGGAGAAAAACAGAGCTCACTGAAATGCTCCCAAATACAAGAGGGTGTTGAGAGGGGGGTGCAAGACTGCAGTATACAGGCCTCTCTACAGCCGTAAGGTAGGTTTGAAGCCCCTATAAAAGAGGGATACAGTTGATTTTCCTGATTTAGCAGGCTGGCATCTATACCCTTAATTCCTCATATGTGTTCAGTTTTCAGATATGCCTTTTATCTTGTGGCAAATGTGGTCTTGTGTTCTACGCATTCACTCTTGGTCTGTTCCAAAGTTAAAGCTCTTAAGTAGAGTTAATAAGTTTGGTCTTACTGTGTACCTGGCAGGTTGGGCATCTGATCTTAAGGAATAAAGAAAGAAGGAATGCTGTTTAAAGGAATGTTGCCAACATAATGATCACTTCGTAAATGTTTTTGATCAGTGGTGGTCACAAGACCCAGGGTAACTTCCTTCAAATTATTTTTGTTTTAATGACCCCACTGGCAGTTGCAACCTGTGCTTACCCAAGTAACGGCAGAGGAAGTAGAGCAGTAGTTTGCAAATATGGGGAGTTTCTTATAGAAGGGTGACTGTGTTCTGTTCCCCAGGTACTACTGAATATACTGATTTTAGGAATATCAAATCTGAAAACAGGTGAGCTGCAATGGTTGGCTGTAGTTGTGGTGGCAGCAGATCTGGGGCTTGGAGAGCCCCTTAACTGGTTTGGTGAGATGGCTAAGTCAATCATTAGTGCTCCCCCAGCTTGCCCTGTGACTTCTTATTGAACACTTTGTGGAGTCTTGTTCTTGCTAAAGTATGAAAAAATCAACCTGAGGAAGAAGTAGGTAATTTTGAGGTTGACCTACCTTAACAAAGGAGCTCGCATAAGGAATGTGGAGAAAAGCACTGGTCCATTTGGATTAGACTGTATTCTAAGATGGTGTGTGCACCATCATATGGTGCCTTAGTAGCAGGAGCTACTATTCCCAAAGATTGTGTCTGTATGTACCAAGGAAGCAAGACCAGGGACCAAACCAATGTGGGTAGTAACTGACCGCAAAATACTGCACTGCAATTCCTCAGTTCTCCCTGAGCTTTAAATGAGAAAGCATCAAAGGTTATTCATGTAATTGTGGTACTAAAGAAGAAAAAACATGAGGTATAAGTCAAAACCTTACTTCCAGAGTCCTGCCTGAAGGCCTAATGTCAAAGATGTAATGCTCATTAAAATGTAAGGTGATTGTCCTGGAGTTCCTCTCTCAAGAGTTTTTTGGGAAAAAGGAGCTACTTAAGGCATAAAAAAGAAACCCAAAAACCCAAACCCAAAACTTCCTGTTTAGCCAGAACAGTATACTCATATAGGAAAATCTCCTTTAAGAATCTCAATAACCTACTTAATACCTCTGCTCTACTGAGACTACCTATTAAAAATAGAGCTCTATATATTCGGTACAAGTGCTTCTGGATATCTGCATGTTTACACAAATCATAATATTTTTTGCTCTTCTCTTACAACTGATTGAATATTCAACACTCCTGTCCTCTAATTCACACATAATTTATTTTGTGCCTGATCTTCCTCCTTCATTTTCTCATATAGTCCATCAGTAATCACTATGTACTATCTCATGTCTTATCAATTTTTGGGAGCTGATAACCTGTCTTTATAAGATCAGCAGTGGATTCACTGAACTCTTAACCTTTTAGAGCTGACTCAATGCATTTACTATATCAATGTTCTGATATCTTTTGCAAACAGTTTGTTAGGTACTTAGCTAAAGTTTTCTAGAAAGACACCTAAGTGAAGTTTGTTAATAATTGATTTCCATGCAAAAGAGGTTTGTCTGTGAATTCCTGCTGACTGCCAGTTGAGGTGTGTTTGTATGGTCAGCTGGGTAGATGTCAAGAGTGATTTAAATGTTTATGCCTCATGTGATCTGAGGTATCTGGAAGTATCATGTGAGGTGTTGTTTGCTTTCTTGTTCCTAATTTTAAACACAAGCCTTTTCCATGGCAGTCTGTTACTGAGTCTGTGAGCTACTTTGAGACATTCTCCTTAGAGAACTGTGGTCAGAGTTTAAAATTAATTTTCCAGAAAACTTGGTTCATTCTGCAGGAAGGCTAATTTATAGAACCGAAAAGATGTCGGATCTGAGGAAACTATACCAGTGAAAAAGTTAGGGTCGTTGATATATAGCCAAAGGCATTCGCATTTAAAATAAAAGTGGTAAAAAAGCAATTGATGGCCTTTTTCCCCACAGAGATTATAGTTTCTCATCTCTCTGTATAGGGAGTATTTTTTTAATAGTTTTTTTTTCCAAATGAAATTTTAAGATTTCCCTATTCAGGGCTGTTGTTGACTGTTCTTTTCTATTTATTTCCTGGCTGTTATTAAGGCCAGTCATTTTCCAGGGTGCAATTTGCTTCTTGTCTTCTGCTTAGAACTGTGCATCGGTCATTAAGGCTTGAGGATAGTGGTAAGCAGGAGTATCAATGTATCCTAAAGCTAGGTATTGTAGTTCTCAGAAAAGTCTGTAACCTCTTTGAAATAAGCTCTCAAATGAAACTTGTAAATGTGCTTTCCATAAAGTTTAATCAAACAAAAACACATTCCAGGAGATCTAGCTTTGTCAAGGTAGTTCAGAAAAAAACCTCTGCAAAGGGTGCTATAATATTTGAAGTGAATTGGGCTCACCAGTTTATTAGAATGAGTTCTTCTGAGATGACTGCCTTTGTGAAAAAAAGAGAATATGCTAGAACTAAGAGATCATCAAATCTGGTGGAAGCACTTTTTTCTGCTGAGTATGAAATCTCATTTTATGTCCAGATGTTCCAGTTCAGAAGTCAATTCATGTATTGCACAACTGTGTATTGGGGAAGTAAGGGTACTGCTTGAGGTCTTGTCTTGGACATCCAGTTTTAACTAGTGCTGTTGTATTTTGCAGAGCTTCACTTACCCGTTTATTTTGTGCATTTATGGGGTCAGTCTGGAGGCTTTAGGAAGTAAGAACTTTCTCTAATGTTTCCAGCAAAAAGGTTTAGAAACTACAGATATTGGTAGGTGAGAGGATGAGGACAAAAACTGCTTACAGATTACTTTGCCCACAGATGCTTTCTGTGTATGGCCTGCAAGCAAAGGGAAATGTGTTTTTATTACTGCTTTCAAATTCATCACAGAAAATTCAGAAAGGTATGTCCTTACCCTACAGAATTAATCTTCAGTATGATCTTTTTTTAACCTGCCACTTACCAAAAAGCCACAAAGTAGTTCTCCAGCCAAAATGTAAATCATTAACACTGTTAAATTGTGTGGAATGGGAACTGAAACGTGCATGTTTCTTTCCATAATCTAAAAAGTCAAGATTTGCATTTTGTTCCCTGTAGCTTCATCCTGAGCCCTTTTCAGCTTGCAGAACATACTTTTGGAAAGAAGTTGTGAGTTACAGTGATTAGCAGTTTCACTGCTAGTATGGAAATATAAACCTAAAAAAAAAAGTCCCTTTTTGTTAGACTTGCTTTATGCTTTATAAACAAAGGCATCACACGTGTACATGAGACTTCATATTTTAACTCCAGTATTGTGTCTTGGCACAGGTACAACTTACCCCGTATCTTTGGTTTAGATTTACATAAAATTACCACTTTTCAATTTGTTCCTGATCAGCCCTTGAGTAAAAATTAGTATGTAATGTTTCTCATCTTCTACTCTGAATTGGGGCAGAAGCCTTTATCCTCCAGAAGCTTGAGAATAAGACATCTTAACTAAATTAAACTTGCAGTTAACTAAGATCACTCCATTAAGTTCAAGTAAGACTTTGTATAGCTTTCTGTTTTCCTTACTCTTCTCAATAAATACATCTTGATGATAATCTTCTTCAGTTGTGAAGTCTTTCTACTCTAAGTAGGAGTGCTTACTAGAGTGCTGTTTGGAAACCTCAGCAAGTTCTTAAAACATCTGGTACTCTGGATGTTTGTGTAAGTCTTTCAAAAGATGTCTTTGCTGGAAGAACTTTATTTTTTCCCAAGGAAATGAGATTGCAGAAACAGAATGTCACTCTCCTACTTTGTTTTGCATTGAAACGAAAGACAAAATTAACCTGTTCTGGCCTTGGCAGGTTTGCTGTTGAAACTGGCTAGTCATGAATGATTGATATAAATAGAATTACATTCTGTACCTTTTCTCATTAAAAGCACTGATACAGCTCAGGCATGAGACTGTGAAGCAAGCTGTTGGCATATAGTTCAATAAGTAATAACTAAACATCATTTTGTGAGGTACAAGACTGAACTGCAGTAAACTCTTTCTAGGGTATGATGCAATACTGTAGTCTCTCTTACTATGCTTTCCAATGTATCAAGAGTCCTTGAAGTATGACCTAAAATAAACTGTGGTCAGCTACTGGGTCTTTTAACGTTTCACTTGAGACTGCAGATACAAAAGCACTACAAACCTAATGAGGAAGAAGGGGTAGTTAATAAGGGAATCCTGAGGTATATCTTTTGTGGTGGGGCATAACCTTCAGTGGTAAGTTGCAAGAGTGTGGTTGTCCAGGTCTATATTCTGAAGTCCTGTCCTTTTTCAGGTCTGCAGTATTTCTCTGAAAGTATCTCTGGCTTTCCAGTTAAATTAAGAGTTCCACTAAAAATTATCTCTTTCTTTAAACCATTACTGAGAATCAATGTTCTATAGCACTTCAGCTCTTTTGATTAAATAATTTACTGAAGTAGGGGGGAAAAAAGCAACTCTGTGGGTAGGCCTGCATTAAAAAACTTCAAAATGAAGCATTGACAAGTGAATAGGATGAAGTGATGCACACCCCAAAAAGGTAGGGGGTTGTGGAGCTGAAGGGAGTGGGGGGGAACCCTTAAGAAGTACCTCACTCCTGATTTTTTTTTTTTTTTGTTCTACTACTTCAGTAACTGAAAAGGTTCTCTGTATCTTTGCCCTCTTGGTTCTTGAGGGGAAAAAATTATTAACCATAAGAGAACGTAGGATATTTCTCTGCAAACTTGCTGCTGAAATAAGAGCATTTTTAAAGCTTAGCTCTAATATAGAAATGATATTCCTATCTTAGTCTATTTTTTTAAATAAGTAAAGGAAAATAAAACTTTATCAAAGGAATACTGGCATTTAGTGCATCGTTCAAGCAGCACACTTCAGAGAAGGTGTGGATAACAAGATCCTTCTCTCCAAGTATTACTAACGTAAAGTATTAAAAAAAAAAATAAGTGAAGACTGAAACTAGTCTTGTATCCAAACCTGAATGGAAAAGATACGTATTTGGGCTAAATGGTAGCAAAATAAATCTTGTGTAGCACACACACGGTTGAAGCTGAAGAAGTAAAAATAAAAAACATAAACGGAGCTGATCTTTCTCACTTTTGACTTTTTTTTACCATCAGATTGATAGTTTGTAGGCAGCTGTTTAAAGAGAACAGAAGGAGCTGCATGTGCAGTTGCAAAACTCTGAAGAAAAAAGTCTTTCAGAAAGACTGAGTTTGCACTTTAAAACACAGATAACTTAAACATCTGAAACCACCTGTTTTCGTACCTATGGCCTAATATGACCTGACACTACATGGTCTGCTCTTTGAAGTTACAACTGTTGATCCAGAATTATTCTACATGGTAGTTCTTCAGCTACTGATTTTTGAAAACCTAAGTATTTTCGATTTATGGAAAATGTTCATGCAGCATATTGTTTTTATGTAATATGTTTTTTATTTTTCATCCAGTTATGAAGCTTTATGGTATTTCTGAAGGCAATGTTACCATGAGGGCTACAATATTATGATATATATATTATAATGTAAAATGTTATACACTTAAAAGTTAAAATGTCTCCTTTTTATATCTTTCAGTTCCAGGAGACTTGGGCAATCAGCTGGAAGCAAAGTTAGATAAACCATCCGTAGTGCACTATCTCTGCTCTAAGAAGACAGACAGTTATTTTACACTCTGGCTGAATTTAGAATTGCTTCTTCCTGTCATCATTGACTGCTGGATTGATAACATCAGGTAAGACCAGAAATGTTGCTCTTTGCAGTTATCTGCTTTCCTTAGACTGACATACTTCGTATAGAATGGCTGCCTAAAACTTCCTTTTCTCATTCAAGACCAGTGAAAAAAGTTGTTTGGAATTCTGCTAGGTGGAGTGACAGGATGCATTAGAAGATATGGCTCTGTTGCATCTAAGGTAGCTGTTCACTGATGAAAAGCAGGTTCTCCACGAGTGGTTTCTGCTGCTTTCTCTCCTGCTGGTTAACTGATACTGGTTTGAGCACTTATCGGATGCCTCTACAGGCTTATCTAAAGCAGAAAGGTTTCTGCTGTTTTGATAAGCACTTACATTTTGATGGGGCAAGGGGAAGGAGGTTCATTGAGCAGCTCAGAGGGACAGGCAAGGGGAATGGGAGCTTGCACTTGTGCTGGCAGCATGTCATCAGCAGTCTGGATGGGCAGCTGAGACACAAGTTTCTTTAAGGGCAGTCTGGAAGTCTCTCCAGAATCATTTTGGTTTTAAAAAATTGGCTAACTTAAGGCTTCCAGACTATTTCATCATTCAGTCTGCTTCTCTAAGGCTCCTGTAAAAATCATATAAATACTCTATGAAAACAAGAAAAGCTTAGCTTGTGCAATTTAAAAACATGATATTTTATGTGAATGTACTGAGCTGTTATGTAGCTGTACCTCTGCTTTGAGTCTTGCCATAAGCCTTATAGACTACAGATTTTTCATGTGTGCAGGTTTGAGTATGAGTTCAGATTCTAAGATTCCATCAGGTACCAGCTGTTACGGGTCAAGAAATAGAGTACTCTCATGCGGATGTGGGTGTTCTAGTTAAACAGCAATGAATTATTTTTATCTTGGAGATTTTTTCTGATATCTAATTTTACAGGTATTTTATCTTCTACTGTCATATTTTTCCGTTTCTGAAAAGTTTTCTGCTTTATGTGGCCTGATGCAAAGTGAAATAGTATAGAACTGCATAAAGTAGCTTATATTCTGAAGGTCAGCCACAATTCTGCATACAGAGTTTTGTAGAGAAGTCTTAGATTCTGCATGTAAAGTACTAAACTAATCAAAGTAACTGCTTACATTGTATAACCTCTTATCTAGAGCTGGAGTACTCTTGTCATGTCTACCTGTTTGTGGTTTTTCTTTTTATTTCTTCCTCGTAATAGCTCTTAAAATTCTTGTTACTGCACTCAGAATGTAAGATCCAATGTAGTTGAGAGTTGTCATGTGGTAATACAACATGTTTCATGTGTTTTCTCTCTCGTTTCTTCCCCCCCCCCCCCCCCCCCCCAGGCTGGTATACAATCGAACAAGTAAGATTACAGAGCCACCAGATGGGGTAGATATCAGAGTCCCAGGTTTTGGGCAGACATTTTCTTTGGAGTTCCTTGACCCAAGTAAAAGGAGCGTTGGTATGTACAAGCTGTGTCTGAAGTGCTGTGTCACTTTCAGGAATTTTCTAGTGTGTCTACAAGCTACTGATAAGTGATTTCAAATTACAGTTCTGTTTAGAAGTAGAAAGACTGGTGGGTTTTTTGGTGGTAGGGTAGCATGAGCTTTTAAGAGTCTTCATTGGATTATATCATTTTGTTTGTTATTTGGCCTGATAGATTGAGACAAGAAGATTCCATGTTATTTATTTTTGTGCCAAATTTAAGTTCTCTGTATGAAACTCAAATAGGCACTTTGAAAATAGACAGTTTTGGAAAATGAGATGGGTTGAGTAGAAAATTCTGTGACTGAAGCTTAACAAACAAAACCAAAATACAGCCACTTCATTTAAGCTTGGTTCTGAGTAAGATCCTTTTTGGTCTTAGGAATGAGTTAATAGGCTTGGCAGATCTAGTACCATGCTCTGTAGTTCCCTGTCTTTTGTCAGTGTCAGAATAATTCCATAATTACGTTTGTGCTGCAGAAAGTTTTCGCAGTAATGTGTTTGCAGGGATTATTTTTTTTTTATTTTTATATAATGTTTTATAGAAATTGTCTTTTTGAAATTGCTGAATCTGGTTATCTTTTGTGAGTTGTTAGCTGTGGCTGAAGAGTAATTTAAATCAGTAATGCACTGAGCTGTACATACTTCATGGATTTCTTTTTCTTTAGGAAGCAGTCTCCAAAGGGGTAGTAATGTGCTTACTGATCTTCACTAGATAACGCTCATAACTAGAATAGGCCCATATTTAAAATTGTCTCTGTTCACTTCAGGGATTATATGATAAGTACTCAAGACTAACAAGTGAGGTTCTGCTCAAAACTTAGTTATGACTGTGTTTGACAGGATGTTTTGGCTCTTAAGTTTTTAAACTGTTACTAGATGCATTTAACTGTGGTAATACTTAAACCCTATGCACCAAAGCTTGTAATATGCAACATCTTCCAGTATCTAACATGAGCCGGTCTGCAGATGTTTCTCTTCTTTCCTGTTAAAGCATTGTGTTCGGTCACTTAAGTCTTAGCCCACTACCTGATAGATAGAAAAACATTCTTGCTGTAGTTGCCATAACTTTGCCTCGGGGGTATGCTGTAAGCATTTGCTTCCAAGAATAGATGTTGGCCAATCTTATGAATGTAATATCTACTTTACCTGAAGTTAATCTGCAATCAACAAAAGCTAGGACTCTTAACAGAGTAACTTTCATGATGTATTCTTTACAGTTCAAGGGTAAGACATTTCTGCCAAAGAAAATGTATCCATTTCGTGTATACCACATTTTTTTGCAAAATTTGATAGATCAGCCAACTAGTAAAAAGTTTTAATTATATTGTGTCACTTTCGGGGGATAGTGAGCATAACTCATTTTGTTTGATATACAGCTTTCTAGATTGCCAAAGGCTACCATTTTAATGTTAATACTTTAAAGTCTATATATATGGTATCAGAGATAATGCTTCCAGAACTTTTTTGTGGAATAGTGTCTGACAGCTGCTTCTAATGCTAATCATTTCACTGTTGTGTTTCTGTCTTCTGTCTACAGGCAGTTACTTTTATATGCTGGTCCAGAGTTTAGTAGACTGGGGCTATAAACGTGATGAAGATGTAAGAGGAGCACCTTATGACTGGCGAAAGGCACCAAGTAAATAGCATTGTTACTTGAATACAACTTTGACTCTCCAGTCAGCAAATACTGTTCTGGGTCTCTTCTCCTCTCCCACCTTTACAATTACACTTAATTTTGACTAGTTCTTGTGGCCTGGCTATCCCTGGACTGAGATGCAAGCTCTGTGGTGTAGTTTCTTTTTTGCTTTAAGCAACTAGCCTAACTTGCTACTTAAGACTTGCTTAAAAAAACAAATTAACAGCAAAAAACCCCACACCAGCAAAATGCATCCCCACAAAAACACCCAGCTCTCCCACTGGGATTTCTAAGCTCTGCATTCCACAGACAGTGGAATTTGCACATCTTTTCATTAAAAGCACAATTCTTTAAAAGTTGTTTGGGTTGTTTTTTTGTTTTTTTTTTGTTCTGTTTTTTTTTTTTTTGTAGTTAAGCATTCACACTTTATTATTATACCTGTGTAACCCATATATGTTTATTTTAGATGAGAACAGAGACTATTTTGTGGCTCTTCGTAAGATGATAGAGTTAATGTATGAGCAGTATGGAAGGCCGGTTGTCTTAATTGCCCACAGTATGGGTAACATGTACACCCTCTACTTCCTCAACAATCAGACTCAAGATTGGAAAGACAAGTACATAAAGGATTATGTGTCATTAGGTGCTCCATGGGGAGGAGTGGCTAAAACTCTCCGTGTGCTGGCTTCAGGTAGGTAATTGAGAGTTTGCAATGTATGTTGTTAGTAGTACAAGGTACTAACTAGACTCTTAATCTCTTAAGACTGGAGGATGAAAGTTTAAGATAATACGAAGTTAAAAATAATTTTTTTCATAAATGATGGCAACTTGATGTTGCAATCCCTGTGACCAGATTGTCATTCTCTCATGTTTATGGAAGTGGACTGAATTTTTTTGCATCCCTTAACAGGGAGCTGTGTCCCTTCTTGACTTCTCCTAACCCCTTTTCAGCAGATCACTGTCATCCACTGTTTAGTGTGGTGTCTTCTACTTCTGTCACTTCTGCCTCCAGCCTGATTGCTATCTGTTTAGTATTGCAAAGCTAACAAGGAGTCCAGAGCATTCAGTAGTTTCCTTTGATTAAAGATAACATGGCTGCTTCAGGTTAACATTAAGGAAAACTTGCAGACATGGTGATGAAGTGATCCCTGCTGCACAAATGCGCATCCAAAATTATAACTCTACAGATAAGAGAAGTGAATCTTTGACATCTTGTGTGTAGCATACTGGATAGGCCCAAGTCTAAACGAAATTGAATAAAGAAGCATAATGTATTTCACTAAATAGCTGCAAATAACTGATAGAAAAAGCATTTTACTCCATCATGTGATACTATGATTATTTCACGTGTTTTGGCATATACTACATGATGTTTCTGGCTTGTTTTTTTTTTTAGTTTGTTTTCAACTTGTTAGCTTTGGATATCACTATCTTCTTCAACACTGACTTCAAAACTGGACTTCATCAAAATGCAGAACACACAGGAAGTGCTAGCCATGCATGGACAGATCAAAGAATGCTTTGCTTAGCGAAGGCGTTTGGTTCTAAATAGTAGTGCACAGCTCAGTTAATAATCAGAACCTGAACTGGGTGTTTGTATTGAGTTATACACTGTTAAATCTATTGCAATGTAAAAATTCCCTTTTCCCACAGGCTTCATCTAACAAGTTTGCATGCTACAGAAAAGTCAGGAAGTGAGCAATGCTAATATGACCTTCATAAAATCCCATGATTATGTAAAATTCCACAGCCCAGATTTCTATTGGATTAAACTTTCTTGTATCACATATTTTATCCTTTATAATGTATCTCATCCAAAGTGATTAGTTATACAAATGTATCATGAATAGTCAAATTTCTACCAAAATGAGAATCATAATGAATCATGTAGGAAAGTTGAATGAGCAGAATACAACATCAGAATGTACATTTTTTAGGTTAGTTCTGTCTCAAATATCTGTAGTAAATCACCACCATCAGGCATTAACACTGGGATTACAGGTGTTAGAAACTACATGGAGTTTTAAAACTGGCCTTATCAGGTTCTTCATATGCAGAAGAACTGTTGCTTTAAAGAAAAATACTACATTGCTGCAGGAAAGACAAGGCAAGCTGTGAATGCATTCTTTCTACTCCTGTTCCTATTTATAATATGATTATGGCTAGGAACTTCATGCCAAATCCACAGTTGTGTTATTGAAGTGGTAAACAGTACACAAAGCATTACTTTCTCTAGATCGTATTCGATACTTTCTGCTACTTACTCATGTACTTTGGAAGATCATCATTACAAAGCCAGTGCCAATAAAGTGAGAATGTTGTTGCCACTGTGGTGAGCTGAGACCCGAAGTTTACTGTGGAGGTTGATTTGGTTTTTTGTCAACTTGGGTTGCTAGCAGGGTCTTCCTTAGACCTAATATTTTGTTCGCTATAATGTCAGTGAGTGTTGTGCCTGCTGACTTGAGCACGGTCTTGGCCATACAGTATTTCTGCACTTCAGAGAAAAGTAAAGGATTTGGTAAGCACTTCATGACAGTTCTGTGAAAGAAGGCTGGAACAGTCAGGTTCTGTGGTTGGTTGTTCTACTGGAAATAAATTTTGTGAACATCCCTTTCACTGTGCAATTCAAAACTCAGGCTTTCTTTGCTGAAAACTGCCAAGTCTGATTCAGTAGCTTAGTGGTGAGTGTGGACAGTTCAGTTTTATACCACACAGTAATCTTAAACACGTTACAGGACTTTTGTGATTCTTGCTGTGCTCTTTGGAGCCTTCTTTTTATCTGTTCAGAGTTAATGGTAGTCAATGTTTCCATACAGTCTTCCTCAAGATGTCATTAAAGACTGTGCTTTAGGACTCGTGCTGAAGCAACAGTGCCACCGTATGGAACTGAAAAATCTGCTTCAGGGCTGTTACAGTAATAGCGGTTTTGGTTGCAGTATTTCACTTTTTATGGTGTGGCTGACCTGGATCACTGTGTGTTGAAACCACTGGAACCAATAAAGGCAAATTCAAAGTTCAGCTGACAAAAGAATTGAAGTGTGCTGGCTGTTGTGATTATGGAAAATAGATCGGATGAGATGGTCACTGTGAAAACAAACTCTGATTTTTTTTTTTTACAATAATATGTATTGGTTTCTAGTAAGGACTATGCCATTTATTAAGCAGCTTCTAGTTTTGTGGAGATGCAAGAACAGTAGTTAAAATGTGAAGAAAGGTGCATATAAATTATAACGTAGTCATGTGTTAGAGCAATATCTGTAACATATTGCTAAGAAAACAATGGATTTGATATCTCAAAAAAAATCTTGAAATATTTTGGTCAAACACTAGTTCTGTAATAACAGTAAGTCTAAACTTGGTAAAATGTAACAATAGTGTGGGGTTTTGGGTATCTGATAATTTAAGACCTGTATTGATAATAAGTTCTAGTTCTCTAGATTTGTTCTGAGCAACACAATTATTTCAGCCGTGTTGAAACGCTTACTGCAAGGGAAGATGATGGTACTGGCAATTTTGCATGGTTTCTACCAGAAGCCAACAAGCTCCAACATATCTTTTGCTGTGAAGTACTATGCCTGGAGACTGAATAGGTTACTGAGTGCAGCATTGTTATTTGATAACATAAAGCAGAGACAGTTACACTTGCTTTGCTTTTGTTGCCTTGTATGATGGTGATTTTTTTTTAGGTACCTATCAACAGTCCGCCATTTTCTCTCAGTGGTAGGCATGTTCTGATAGGTTTTATTACAAAGGGAGCACATAAACTGGTAAAACATTATGTCAAATGGTAAATAAACCATATAGTAATTTTTATGGCTATTCTGAATGAAATACTGCTGCTCTGCTTGTTTTGAACATGCAAAACTTTAAATATTTTGTTAAGCCCATAAAGGCTCTTCATGAGTTCTTAAATATGTATGTATAGTAGTATTTACCTGTTCTTTCAGCAAAAACCTCATCTAGGTACTGAAATCACTGTAAAACAGGTTCCCAGAACAGCATGGAATGGTACAAATTGCAAATGGTACAAATAATGCTTAATAAAAGCTGATTTCTTCCTTTACTCAGGTAGAAAATACTTGCTTCTTTCACAAGGAACATGATGGAAAGTCAGCAGATGGAAAGTTCTTGATTTGTCAGTCATTCATCAATTTGTATTTACATTTTAAAGTTATAAGGTAGTTTACAGAAGTTAATTAGCAAGATCAAATAAATGAAGAAAAACTTTTCAAACTGTGACTAAGCAAAAGGAATGATCTTTTTTTCATGTTATCCCTGTGAGTGGTAGTAATTGCTGCCGGTTGCCTACTTTGCATTGTGTATAATGAAATTCCACTTTTTTTTTTTAAGGTGACAACAACAGAATACCTGTTATCAGTTCACTCAAGATCAGAGACCAGCAGAGATCAGCTGTTTCCACTAATTGGATGCTCCCGTACAACTACACATGGCCTCCAGATAAGGTCTTTGTAAGAACACCTACAGCTAATTACACTCTTAGAGATTACCAGAAATTCTACAGGGACATCAATTTTGAAGATGGCTGGCTCATGAGACAAGACACTGAACCCTTGGTCTACCAGATGACACCACCTGGTGTGCGCATACACTGTCTTTATGGTACTGGCGTGGAAACACCCGATTCCTTCCATTATGAAAGTTTTCCAGACAAAGAACCCAAGATCTTTTACAGTGATGGGGATGGTACAGTAAACTTACAGAGTGCCTTGCAATGTCAAAAGTGGGTGAACATGCAAAAACAGAAAGTGGTGGTATTTGAGCTTTCAGGAAATGAGCATATTCAGATGCTATCCAATGATACTACAATCTCCTATGTGAAAAAGCTGCTTTTTGATTTGTGACACCTTGTGTTACTTTCCTCACCTGTGATGCCTTCCCTTAAATATGGGGAAAATGCCTTTTAATCTCTTGGTATTTAGATATTTGAATTATTTATTTTGTGGGGATTTTTTTTAAGGCTGTGTTTGAGAAGTTGTTTGGTGTCCGAAATGATTGTCTCTGATTTGTGCTTATGATGCTTCATGGTATTTTCACATTCTGCAGATTTGGTCAAATAAGCGTTTTGGTGCCTCTGGTGTTTGCGTCCAGTATTATACAACCTTTCACTTGGAGATTGTGCAGCCCGTGCACATACTACGTAGTATCAGATGCCTGAGTTCCTTTGGGTGACTGTGTATTTGCAGGGTTTGGAGTGAGAGGGCTGGGAAAGGCTGCAGGTTCAGATGCCCATAAAACAAGATAATAATACTACCAATTGAGAAGCACAGTAAACTTTTAAAAAGGTCTTCCATATTTTCATTCACAGTTTCCAGTACTTTAGTTTGTAAGTGTGCACATCTACTGGGTAAAATAGGGAAGACCTCTGGCTGGTACTGTATTACCTTTGTCATAATCCAGACTTGCTTTTATTGCAGCTTTTGGGAAGAGAGAGAGATGTGTGAATGACTTCAATTTCTTAAATACTTTTAAATTTTTTTTTTTTCCTTTTTAAGAAGGAGAAATTGTTTGCTCATGAACTTCTAGAGCCTGATTACGTAAAATCTGAAGTCTGAGGAATTCTCACCTTGTGCTTTATTTATCATTGAGGGAAAGAAGCTGAACAGTGGTTGGTGCTTGCAATAGCCTTAGCTGTGTGGAGTAGTAGATAAATTAAAGCTAATTGAATGCTGTCGAACAATCTTTGTGGTGCAGAATTGCATTTCTGGGTGAAAGATCATCTCCTGTAGTGGAAATGATAATGGATGGTGGGCATTAGTTCAAAAAGAAAAGTGAACTTCCTGAAATGGGGTGAGGAATGGAAGCCAGCATAATAAAGAATGATGTGTATAAACCTTGCTCTCAGTCAAATACCGAGAGCCACTTATTGACCAAGTAGTAACTGGACCAACATTGCATTCAGCTGAAAATAAACTTTACATTTTAAGACCGAAATTCATTTCCCATAGGTTAAAAGTTTCATTGTTGCTGCTTCAAGAAGTTGGGATACACTGTTTCTTAAATCATAGAATCACAGAATAGTTAGGGCTGAAAAGGACCTCAACATCATCTGTTTCCAGCACCTCACGCTAGACTGTGTTGCCCAAGGCTCTGTCCAACCTGGCCTTGAACATGGCCAAGGATGGAGCATTCACCACTTCTTTAGGCAACGTGTTCTAGTGCCTCACCACCCTCATAGTAAAGAACTTGTTCCTTGTATCTAACCTGAACTTCTCCTGGTTAAGTTTAAACCCATTACCCCATGTTACTGGCATTGTTCCACCTCTCAAATGTTTCAAGGCTCCTCTGGATGGCATCCCTTCCCTCCAGCATATCAGCCAAACCACACAGCTTAGTGTCGTTGTCAAATGTTTCTATAAATTGCTGAACATGCAATTCTGTTAATTCTTACAGTACCATTTCACTAAATATTTAAAAATAAAAATCTAACCCTGAACTCCACAGAAATGATAGCCTAAAGGCCATCATATTTAGAGCCTTGATTACAGAAGTCCTGTTGGAGAAATAGCTGCATTCAAAGATTCTCTTTTGCTTGCTTTAAAACCAGTTGCCCAGATCAACTGTGCTTAGTTTTCTGAAAACACAATTCTGAATGCTTCCAAAATGCTAGGTCCTCCAAGGAAGATGTTCTAAGAGTTTCAGGAACTCATCAGAACTATTGAGGGTTTCTTACTTAAGAAACTGAAGTTGTCTAAATGGTAGTTTTAAACTTTTTTAGTAACATGCATTAAGTGTTTGCTGCCATTAAATATGTTGAAATGACAGGCTTGAAATTCTGTTATTGTAGACTGCAAATGCTTTAGTGCAGGAGGTAGGACTAAAGCTTTATGTTTTGATTCAAAAATGACTTGTAAATCCAGAGCAACTTGAACTAGGATCATTGATGAGCTAATTGTCTTCTTAGGTTTTTAACTTCCTTCATTTTCCCCCTGCATTTTCCCTATTAACTTTTGTTTATCTTGTCATCAGTTGCCCAGCAGCAATATTACCCAGACTTTCCCAGACTGAGAACTTGGCTGCCGTAAGCCGCTTGTAACTGGTAACTGTTGAAAACAAAAGCAAACCCCTGAAACCCCCAAACTAAAAAGCACAACAACAGAAAACCCACATAAAAAAGTTTTTTAACCAAGTATTCTGTTTTATGTAGGGCTGTCATCTGGATATGCGTCAGGCTTGTGTTCTAAGACTGCTCAAAGATCATAAACTTCTTCCTGTGGTCTGACTCAATTGTTAAATACATTGCTATGTTACTGGTTTGCAATGGGAAGAAATTACAGAAGACAGCTCATCACAATCTGTATTTCTTGCTGAAGTAGAATGCCTATTAATAAGCACTGGAATGAGTGGAGCTGGAGGCTGTATAGCAGGATACGAACATGGACATGAAGGGCTGAGAAAACGAAAACAAAATGTAAATAGTTCTTAACCTGGTCTGGTTCTTAACCTGGTTTTCTAAGCTTCCATTAATCAGTATCATTTTCAATCTTATACTGAGAGTTTAGCTTCAGGTTTTTTTTGTGATTTGAAGTTCCGAAATATGTGATTCTAAAAGATGCTTTTCCTTTCTAATTTTCTCTTTAACTACTTTTTAATATTACTTTGCATCCCAAAAGAGGTGGTGAAAAAAAAAATCTCCTTCTTACCAATTCTGACAGCCTCTTACAGTGTTTCTGAGATTGGTTGACTACATCTTTTAACCTAAAGATTTGTAAATCAGCACTCCGTTAGCAGACAAACCCTGAAGTGCGTCTCTGTAAATAAACTTATGTTCGTTAACCCGGTAAAATTAAGCTCAAAGTTTTACAGGGTGTTTTTGGTTTTTTTTTGGTGGGTATTTTTTTTGTTGTTTTTTTTTGGTGGGGTTTTTTGTTTTGTGGATTTTGGGTTTGTTTTTGTTTTTTGGTTTGATTTTTGGATGGGAGGTTTTTTGTGTTTTTTGGTTTGGTTTTTAATGTTGTTTGTAACTATGTAACCTTGTTGTGCAAGAGTATGTGTACCTAAGTACTGTGTTAGAGCAAGCACGGTGCTTCTGGTGAAGTATGGTTTGTAAGTGAAGGTTTTGCATTTTTATGTCCGTAAGTTGTGATTTTTCTACCAAACCACCTTCAGCCTTTTAATTTTCAGTTTCTTGCATATTAGGATGAAGTTCTCATTGGAAAGTGATTGCAGCAAGTAAACTGTAATTCTAATAATTGAAAATGAACCACTTCACTCAGCATGTTGAGAAGTGCTTGCTCACTATGGCATGTTCCTCTACAAGGCAAGAGTCTTCAGCATTACTGTTACAGGCCTGCTAGAGCTATTTGCACTTGAGCACTCTAGATCCTTATGGGGAAGAGATCTAAAGAAGTAAATCTTTAGGAGAATGTCTTCCTTAAGAGGAGTAACTCAAGTGCTTTGCCACACTACAAAGCTGAAATGTTTGAATTTACTGACATTTCTTTGTCAGTAAGACATCTATATTGATGATGTGTCTCTCTCTTTCCATAGTTTTTACTTGGTTTTATTCTTCCAGGATATTTTCAGAAACCAAAAATAGTCTTGAGGACCAAATGTGTTTCGTATTTTTGACTAAATGTATAGAAAATACTGAGGAAGCTTTCGTTGTAACACTTCTGAGGAGGTTCAGAGTCACTATGTGATTCTGTTTAAAAACAGAAGGCTTCAATAACTAGCAATAATTGCAAAGGACTTGCAGACCAAAGGAAGGAATGTTTGGTATTAAAGTAGTTCTTGGAGCACAGTGTGTTCAAGGCCCTCTTAAATTCAGGGAATGTTTGGCAATGACTTTGCTGCTCTACACTCAACAGTATTTTGTATGGAACGTATTCTGAGACCTAGCATTTTATATGCTCTTTTTGTGCATGAATGTGTTCAATAGATTTTTAATATTTTATTGTCAAACTTTGATAACATAATAAAGTTGATCTGATATAGTTTGTCTCCTGTTGTGTATAACGTGTTGTCTCACTGCTTGGATGGAATGTCAACTTGCTGGTATTCTTCCCCCCCAGAGTTTTGGTGTCTCACTTTTCTCACAGTAGTTGCTTCTTGGTTCATCTTCCAAATACATCTGCTGTCTTGTGATAAATTTGGAGTTTTGTGTTAATTGTTCTTGAATTTATGGAGATGTGGAACTGCAATTACTCTGTTTCTTTTGTTTGCTTCTTTCTTGCTCATCTTATGGAGGAAAAAAAAGTTCTTGAGATGCCTCACACTTCTGTTAAGGTAATCATTTTGAAATTAGTCACTCAATCCTGAAGTGCCCCAGAAGCTTACAGTTGTCTTTATACTGTTGGTTTCCAAACTGATCCACAAGCCCATGCATGTAGACCATACAGTTTTATGATTGTATTAAGCAATCTTTCTACAATTAAAAATAGTACATTGTGGCTCTGAAGAAACTCTAACTGTAGACAGTTATTATGTAGGGCCGGGGGGGGGGGGGCAGCCTGGATGTGATCTCCCTTATCAAAGCAATGTAAAGGCCTGTTGGGCAAGTGTAAGTCCTCTTGTGGCTGGCCTGGGTGCTTCACTAACTTAGAGAACAATGGATTGCTTACGACTCTTGAGAAGAAAAAGTAGCAAGGCTGAAACTTGCCTTGTGGGAGTTTCCCTCCCCCGGCCTGCATGTGGTAAAGACTGTAATACAAGATGAGTGTTGGTGGCTGCTGCTCCTCTCTGTGACCTAGATCCCTATTAATTGGACATCTTGTCCCAGTACAGTTCTTGTTTATGCCTTCCTCAAGGTTCATTGACCCCTTATGATTGCAGAAGAAAACGGAATGTGGCCTTCTTCCAGCTCCTACTAAACTGGGGGAAGTGCTGCACTAAAGTAAATTAGTCCTGCACTGTGCCAATTCTTGGAAGAAGCTGGGAAGGCTGAGAGCATAGGGAAGGTGGGATGGAATGATAATGAAGCCTGGCTAGAGTGATGCCAAGCCTTGTGAAAGACTGCTCTTCTGTGCAATCCTAGAATACTGATGTAATGCTGGTGCTAGCTTGGGTTGTGCATCTTTCAAATAACAACCTTATAGTTGCATATTGTCTGATGCTATTTTTCTGTGCCATCTTAAATCCTTTCCCTAATTATGGGATCACATTTTTGAGAAATGATGTTGACTTTCTCTTTAGCTTGAATTAGTTTTCCTCCAAACTTCTAGCTTAAGAGTTTCCTTTGAAGACTAATTTACTTTGTGGTCATTTAGACCAACAAACAAGAATTAAATGCAATGTTTAGTTCCCAAATCGGCATTCTTCAGGCAAAAGCAGAATGTAATACAAGCCCAGGAAATCAAGGAAATTAATACACAGTGTTTTCCTCAAAATACTGATGTTAAGTTTGTCTAAACTGTTTGTCTGCATTGTTGTTGCTTTCCAACTTCTTGTTCTATTCTAAGCAGCATCTGACCGCAATATCCTAATCCTGAACCCTTTTCCTTCTCATAACATAATGATAACTGATTTTGTGTGAATAGCAAGGTACCTTCATTTCAGTTTTTAGGGCCTATTTTGCACATAGTTGAAGTTTCAGTTATTACCCCTACCTCAGTAGATTTAGAAGCAACAGTAGTTGGTAATCTTGAATCTTCAATTTTTTACCAGTACTGCATGCACTTAAAAAGTGCTTGATGTGGATCATTTTCATTCTCAGCTAACAATCATAAAAAAATAATCCGT